ATATAGTTTATGTTGATAAATGAATTCATTAAAGATAATCATAATTAAGTCATTGAAGCATATTTATTTCTTTTTCTATTTTTTGTCTTTCAATTTTTTTTTATATATTAACTATATATGTATGTTAATAATTTTATTATTTATATGTTTTATTATTTGATCATTTGATAATTAATAACATAATTAAATCTTTTTAGTTTCTTCAAATAATTCTTTAATATATCATTCCTACAATTTAGTCTGACTTTTATAATTAATTTCTATTTTGTATTTTTTCCTCTCAAGTTATTCCTATAAATAAAAAATAATATTAAATCAAACACAAATCAATTGCATCTCTCCATTGACAATTAGTATTGTATGATTCATTAAATAATTTAATTGGGCTTTCTGATGATTCAAGAGGTTGTAGAGTTACCAATAGCTCAGGATTAGGTTCTGTTAAATTACTATAAGAATTATTTACCTTAATTGAAATAATAAATTGATATAATTTTTTCTCAATTTTTATTTTAATATACAGATCTATGCTTAATTTATATCTCAAGATTATTTAATCTTTTTAATCATATTAAATTGCTTACTTTTTTTTTCTCATCTAGGTGGTTGAACGTAAATTATTATAAGTAAAAAATTATCAAGTGAAGTAAAATGAATTATTTTGATGAATTTTTTCAAGGTGTGACAAAATTCATTGGAAATATTTTTTTGAATGTGTTTATGCCTAAATTGCATCCATTTATGAAAATTTATGCTATTACTATCGAAAATGAAACCATTATAAACTGTATAGGTATTACATAACAAGTTTGTTATTCTTTAGAATTGGAATTTTCTCAAGAAAACATGGCAACTACCAAGGTTAGTAGTTTATTTTATTTTAATTTCTAAAATTATGTATTTTAATATTTTTATATAATAAAAAATTATGTATAATAAATTTTTTAAATAAAAGAAAATTGAAGCTTTCAATTGATAGTATGTACAATTACATTTAATTGATAGAAACACAAATAAAAGATTATTCCAAACAAAAAAATGAGACAAAAAATTGATTACTTATTTATAGTGCTATATAATGTTTCAGTGAAAAATATACAAATATATTGATTTCAAATTTTTTTAGGATCAATATGAAACTCTTTTATTAGGAGAAATATTGTGTATTTTTTCATTTTCTCCTTTATATAAATGTTCACTGTTGTATCAAGATTTTTAAGTTTTCCATGTTAGGCAATATTTGTTCAAATGAATTGAAATTCATCAAATTAATTATCACTATTACATTTAAAATAAAAATATTACTGTAAATTATAATTGAACTAAATTTAAAAGTGATTTAAGTGTATCATTAGCAAAATTCATTTGATAAATCTTTATTTAATTGTGTATTTAGTATTTCAATCATTTTGGAATTTGATTTTTCATAATTTCGAGTTGAATTTTAGACCTATGATTAGCTACAATTAGGTTAATTTAAGTTTTATCATTTACTTTTATTCATAATGTACTCAATTATTCACTTATGCACCTGAGCAAATTTAACTCAATAATTGGTGCATGTTTCTCTTTATTTAAAAAGAATCATAAATCCTAAATGCAAATAAAAAAAATGTATACTCAATTACTTATAATTGCAATTTCCCTTTATATATTCTTAAAATTAATTGACTAATTCATCTATAAAAACAATAAAAATAAGATATTGAAGATGAAGGGGAAAAAGCTTAAATAAGGAATTTTTAAATTGTTATGGAAGATGAATAAAAAATACTATATTTTATTTATACTCAAATCGAGTTTTAAATTTTTCAAGTTTGAGTTGATTAATCCATATTATTTTAGCAATATTTTTATAATACCGGTAATAAATTTCAAAATTGAATGAGAACACAATATAATAAAAATTAGATGCAAAAGTAATAGAGATACTAATGATAATTCAAACATTTCATTTGAAAGAAATATTATAATTTCGTCTTGGTCAAGAAGACAATATACAGTTAAATGTTCTTTGGATTGTTATGACACCTTATAATATTTTTTAGTCTTTCCAAATGGAGAAGTTGATTGGCATCAAAATTTCAAAAAAGTTATTATGAATGATGGTAAAAAGAATGAAGTAACAATTAAAAATATACAATCTTTTTGTTTAGTAAAAGAAAATTTTATGTAGAATACAAAGGTATTTATTGTGAATTTGATATTTTTCAAAATTATTGAATATTTGATTTTTAATAATTTTGTTTGTTAAATTTGTTCCTAATACTTTTATCATATATACTACAAAATTTTTACCCATAATTATATACTTAAAAATAAGAACATAAGGCAAAATTTGTTATTTCTATTGGTTATAAAACATTTCAAAATTTTTAATTTTTAATATGCAATTGTACTTCGTTAACAAATATAAAAATATATACACTAATAATTCAATCAAATTATTAATAAAACTTATCTTAATATATATTATTTTACCATGAACTAAATAAGTTGAAGAATATATTAAAAATATTGACTATTAGTATAAAAAATTATGATTTTAATTTATTATTACTTGTTAAATTATGGATAGTAAATTAAGAGTATTTACTCTTTCTTTTTAAGTCAATTACACATGAATTTTTTCTTCTTTCTTTCTCTACCTTATAAATTATATTAACTAGCATATATTATGGTTACTTTCTTTTAGGATATACACAAATCAATGATGACATGCTAATAGATAATTAATAACTTAGTAATTAATTATTGAAAAGTTAAATGTAATCAATATAATTTAATAGTAATCATCATAACTTAGTAGTAAATTAGTGTAGTAATAACTTATAGTAAATTAATGATTATTTAATAGTCAATAATTGATAATTTTTTAGTAAATTAGTAATAATATAATAATAAATGCACAATACTTTAATAGTAAATCAATTATGATATATTTATAAACGTGTAAGAGCATAGTATTAAATCAAGGAATATTTAACAAAAAATCAGTCATAGCTTAGTAGTTAATTATTGATAACTTAGTAATAATTAATGATAATTTAATAGTAAATTAGTGATAATTTAATAGTAAATCATTTTAAATTTAATAGTAATTAATTGATAGTAGTAAATCATAAATAATTTAGCAGTAAACTAATAATAAATTAATAGTAAATAATTGATAATTTAATAGTTAATAATTAAAAACTTGAACATAAATCAATATAATTTTGTAGTAAATAATTGATAATATAATAGTTAATCAACGATAACTTAATAATAAATTGTGCATAATTTAATATAAATAAGTAATAACTTGATAGCGAATTATTGATAATTTAGTAGTAAATTGGTGATAATTTTTAGTGAATAATAAAAAATTAAGTAGTAAATTAATGTTAAAATAATGGTAAATATATAAAAATATAATAGTAAATTAGTGATAATTTAGTAGTAAATTAGTTAATCATTGATAACTTTTTAGTAAATCATCGGTAAGTTAATAATAAATTAGTTATAACTTTATAATAAATCATTAATAATTAGTAGTAAATCACCAACAATTTTATAAAATCATTTATAACTTAATGGTAAATCATTCATAATTTAATAGCAAATCATTCATAAATAAGTAGTAAATCATTAATTATTTAGTAGTAAACAATTGATAACTTAATTGTCAAATCATTCATAATTTAATTGCAAATCATTCATAAATTAGTAGTAAATCATTAATAATTTAGTAGTAAACAATCGATAACTTAATTGTCAATCATTGATAACTTTTTTATACCTGAGTTGTTAGAATTAAAGTCCTGTTTAGTAGCAGAAATGAAGTTAAAACTTTCATTTTGGGGGTTAAGATAAACTTACCATGAATTGATTTAATAAAAAAATTAGTTAAAAAATTGTAAACTTGAATAAAATAATAATGTTATTTATAAAAAAAATTATCTCTTATATTATTAATGGACTTTTTAAATTTCATGTTTCATAATTATAAAAAGATAATAACATATTAATAAATCATGATAGGTTAATAAAAAACAAGTGATAATTTAGTAGTTAATCATTGATAACTTAATAATAAATCAATGGTCAATTAATAATAAATTAATGATAACTTAATAGTAAATTGTTTCAATTTAATAGTAATTAATCGATAACCTTAGTAGTCAATCATAAATAACTTAATAATCAATCAATGATAATTTAATAGTTAATCATTAGAAACTTAAAAGTAAATAAATATAATTTAGTTGTAGTTAATCATTAATAACTTAATAGTTAATAGTTTATCAATGGCTATCAAAATAAAAATTATATCAAAAGTTATTAAAATTTTCTTATATTATACCAAAATCAAAATTAAATTATTAGTATTTATCATTATTATCTTAGTATAAAAAATTATTATTAAAATAAATTTTTAGAGATAAGATGTACATGTCAAAAACTAGTATCAAGAAATGTATGATGCACAACATCAACCCTGTCTTCTTGCGAGAAAGGGAAAAAAATCACCAATATGTAAGCAATCAGCATAATTCAGAACAAAATCCACACAATCAACCAAACACTCACATCAAACTGAAGACTCATGGTAAGATGATAGGTATCACAATATGAAATTTACTACTAAAATTTGAAATTTGTTCTAAGATGATAGGTAATGGTATCAAAATATGATTAGAATTGAAAGTTGAAAAGTTAAAAAATTTAATGAATGCTTACTTCTTTTCTCTAGAAGTACATTTCTGCATAATGGTGGATTGGGTATTATAATACTACTTTTATCAGCAAGGAAAAATTACCAGATTGTGATTGAGATATGGAAGATCTTGGTTTTAACTCTTATTCTGTTCCAGGATTATGATTCTCTAAAATGAGCGTATAGTGCCAGACAGGGGAAACATATTAAAATGTGGATATGAGCGCATATGGAATCTAAAATGCAAAACGTCTCTTTAACTAAAATCAGACACAATTACCATTTCAAAAAAAAAAAAAAATCAGACAGTTATTTTACCGAGCGTTAGTTTTCCGAATTCAAAGACATTGCTAACATAAGATATTGAGATCACACACTCCCATCTTACAAACTGTCTGAACCAAAAACTATCAGGGCAAAAGAAGGAAGAGGAGGATACATTCTGAACTTGAACTTGAAGTGCTCCAGAACCATGAAAGATACACAGGGCTATATGTTTCTTCTGAAGAAGGGCAACCTACGAAGATTGTCCACAATGAAGAAATAACAAGCGGTGCTCCGCTCTTCAATGAAATAAAACCATGCCCGTCTCCAGTATGGGTTTATGTAGAGTACAATGCCAGTTGCCAGCAATATAATTGCATAGGAAACCCCAAAGCTGATGTAGAAATCGCCCATGTCTATAAAACTATGTACTTCATCTTCAGCAGAAGAAGCACTTGAAGTTTCTAGCGAATCACCTTCACCACAACTGTTTTTCAAAGGAGGTCCACAAGAAGAGGGTTTCCCTCGTAACTGCTCCCGTCGAATGTCCCAAATTGTCCTTTCCTGTCTGGGAGAGGCCCTGACAAGTTGTTGTGTGCAACAATGAATACCGCCAGAAAGTTTAACTCAATCAGTTGAGGGGGGATTCTACCGTTTAAGTTGTTGTAGGAAAGATCCAAACTCTCGATCTGCTTGAGTTCTGAGAATGTGGAGGGGATGGGTCCAGTTAATTGTGCGACAAGTTTAATCCTCGGATTTCAATCAGATTCCCCAATTCAGGTGGGATTATGCCTGTCAATTGGTTGCAAGAGAGATCAATTCCTGACAAGCTGTCGAGAATTTTACCCGTGTAATTATATAATGCTTTCTTTGTTGAAAACTTTATCACTTCTTCTCCAGAGATAAATGATACAATTGTGATGTAGGAAACCCGTCTGCAGGATATACGTCTTTATTTGTTAGGAGATCATATATTTTCATTCTCGTGGATGCAATTGCCAATATTGTGTCAAATGAAATCACAGAAAAGTCATTGTTTACATCGGACTTTTCAAACCATTGCTCAAGAGTTAAATTACTCAAACAAGAAGGTATTGGCCCAGAAAGTTTATTCTGAGAAAGGTCGACGATGCTTAATGAGTTCAATTTGCATAAGTGCATAGGAAATTCATCATGGAACTGATTTGCTTTTAGAAGGAGGACACTCAGAGCCGGTAGTGTATCGATCCGATCTGGAATTTTCCCGGTGAAGTTGTTTTCGCTTAGATCTAATGTTACTAATGAAGAGCTTCTATAAAAGGCAGGTGAGAGTGGTCCACTCAGTTTATTGCTGTTGAGATGCACATGCTTTATATTCTGTAGATTGGAGCAAGATGGTATTGTACCAGACAGACGATTTTGAGAAAGATCCAAGAATCCAAGATTCACCAGATTGCATAATTCAATGGGAACAGGACCCTCGAATTGATTGTTGGCCAAAGCCAGTAGCCTCAAACTTGTATAATTCCACAACCATATTGGGAGCTTCCCAGATAACTGGTTGTCACTTAAATCTAAAGTTTGAAGCACTGAAGAGCTAATGGATGAAAAATGAGATATCTCTCCATCAACGTTGTTGCCATCCAGATATATTGCTGGAAACATTTTTCCATTCAAATTGTTATTTGAAAGTTTAAGCAACTCTAATGAACGACTCATGCCCAATTCTTTAGGTATTCCTCCAAAAAACTGATTGTGGGACACGTCCAATTTTGCTAAATACATCATGCCACCCAAACAGAGAGGAATATTTCTTTTGAAGGCATTTTGGGACATTGACAATTCCTCTTAATTTGGAAAAACTGAGCAAAAATTGGTTGGAATATGATGCATTTTATTGTTGGATATGTCAATTGTCCTCACGTAATCATGAGGATCTAATGGTAAGAAAAATGGACCCACAATAGAACTGTCTGTCATGAAAAGTGTTTCTAATCTTGTATTATTCTCTACCAACCAATCAGGGAATCTAATTCCACCAAAATTGTTATACGAAAGATCAATGTATCTTAAGTCATACTGGTAGTGGAGGAAATTAGGAAGTTGTAATTTCCTATGTTCTATTGTGCAATTTGACAAACTGAAGACCTTGAGTTGAAGTTTTAGGGGCCAAGTTTGGAAAACTGTTGGTTCTGCTACTAACTTGTTTCCATCGCTGAAAAGGATTTTAAGATTTGAGTGGTCTGCGAATGAATTGAATGACACTGGAACTTGAAATTGATTATTTGAAAGGGAGAGGAATTTAAGCATTGTGAGATTTGTGAGGGAAGTGGAGGCAACATTTCCTGTGAAGTGATTGTCAGAGATGTCCAAGAAGCGAAGAAATGTCAAGTTACCCAAACATGAAGCAATTGCACCCCCTAGAGCATTTCCATTGAGTCTCAATTCTTCAAGACTCTTTAGATAGCACCAACCTGTGAAAAAAAAAATTGTAGAGATATGAGATCTTAAAAATTAAAAAAAAAAGATGTAATAAAATGAAAGAGCTGATGGAGTGTTAGAGAATCACTTCATAACCAGTAATTATATTACCTTGGGTAGGTAAAGTGCCAGCCAGACTGCAATCATACAAAGACAAGGTTTTGAGAGAAGTCAAGATACCAATGCTTTCCAAAAAGCTGATGTCCAGAGGAGTACTATCCATGATCCAGCCAGACTGCAATCATACAAAGACAAGGTTTTGAGAGAAGTCAAGATACCAATGCTTTCCAAAAAGCTGATGTCCAGAGGAGTACTATCCATGATTAGGTCCTCCACATTACTCAACACATGCAACTCTGCGTACAGTTGACATCCAAAAGTGAAAAAAATTACTCCCTTTATGTAGAACAAGAAGTAAATAATAGCATCGTATCAAATGCATCATATAAATGATTATAGACTGATTTAACATTTTTGTTTAGAATCACAGTCACAACTCACCTTGAGTAACTACTGTTTTGTTTAAATGAGAGTTAGCTCTTAAAAAGAGGGTTTTTACAGATGAAAATGGCTTCAGGAGTGATACAAGGGAAAGGCTTTGTTTGGTGGAGACACCGTCCAGATAAAGACTTTTTAAGTTCCTCAGGCATCTATTTTCTGCAAGGAGAAACAGAGAACAAAGATATGCTTAGCATACGTGTTTGTTTTTGTTTTTTATTTTTATTTTTTGCCCTCACTAAATTGCAAAAGAAACATTTAAGTTTGTGCCTTCTAAATAATGAAAGTTATACTGATGTATTAACAAAATAAAAAAAGTAACTAAATAAAGTAATGGATCATAATATAAATATAAAATTATTATTGGTAGTTAATATAATAACTTCTTTTGACATTAGTGAAAATTAACTTCAAACAAATTTAAAAAAAATTAAAAAAGAACTTAAAAAAAGGAAATTTATAATAAAAAAAGAAAAAGAATTATTTTTTAGGAATCAATCAACTTTGTAAAAAAAAGAAAAAACAACTTGTGAAAAATGAAATATAAATTCATTTAGTGAAAAAAAAAAATTAAATAAACACTTTGTGACATTTTTTTATCTTAGTTTGATCAAATAAGCTTATTTGATAATTTGAATTTTTTTATTTAAGTTCTTTTAAGTGATGTGACATATTTTTATTTCTACTTGTACAATTAATTTATTTAATTATGATATCTTAAATGTGAACTTGGATAATATTCTTTTGAATTTTGGATAAAAATATTTTTTGAAACAAGGATATATGAAAAAATGTCAAAAAATTTATTGTAGAGAGTTTTTTTTATATAAAATTGATTTTTTATACTTTTTTTAATTTTTATGCAAATTAATATTTTATTATTTTATATTTCTAAAAGTATTTGACATTATAACATAATGAAACTTATTTTAAGTTATAATAATTTTAAATAAAATAGTGTAAATAAATATTACTTATCAATTTATCCCCACAAGAGCATAAATCCTAAATTCATACCTGTATCAAATTATTAAAAAAAATGAAGAGGCAATAATAAGGCAAGGGAATCTTACTTTGAATCAAAATTATTACTTGAAATTTATTGTTTGAAATAATTAAAGTTCTTAAAAATGGAAAACCGTCCAAGTGTAACAAGAAGCTATTCATAAAAAATACATATATGACTAATGAATGATGTTGAAAATTAAAATTTACTTTTAATTTGTACTTTTAGAAGTCACAAATTGATTTACCCCATTGAAACTCATGTCTAGACTCTCTATATTGCTCAAAGTGCAAAATTTTGAGAAGATTTCACACATCAAATTGCATGAGAGATTATTTCATTAGTTAATTGCTTTAAACATCTAGAGATTTCGCAAAATTGAGCTTGAATAGAACATGAACATGATGAGAACTTCATGTGTAGTTGACCAAGGATTAGGAACTTAATAGAGAGGTTGTCAATAATGTAAATAATGAGAAGGGAAGCCAGTTTTTAAACGCATTGCATGCATAAAACAAGTCAGTGAGTAGTGTCTCATCCAAAGTCATCTCGGATAATAGGAATTAAGCCATTATTTATCTATTTATTTATTTTATGGTACTATAAATTACGAAGAAGAAATACAACTAATTAACCTTCATTCTCAACTATTTCATTAACTTGGAGATAAAGACTCCTCAGTTCTTCAAATGGAAGAAACAGAGAGGCATTGAGATATCATATCTGATTTACCGATGTCTTCCAGTTTAAAGAGAGTTCAGTGACTCGTTTAGTGGTGATGTTGCACTCAACCAATTCCCATCGACAACAATCTGAACCCACTTCCTCCGTCCAGGTGGGTAAATACTGAAGATCATTGAAAAAAGGTTTGAGCTGTAGGAGTGCAAGTCTCTCTTGCTCCAAACACCCATCACTAAACCCTGCTCCTAAAACCAACACACTCATCATTACCCACACCCATTCTGGCCCCATCATTATCTCAATAAACTCAGCTCAGCTCACTTGATATAACTGTTAATTACCTCTGTATCTATGCTCTATACCTTTGGAATTGATCTTAGCTTTGTTATATATATATAGGCCTCGAGGAACCCGAGTTCCTCTAAAGTTGTCAATCACTGGTAGATAAACGTCTTCATCAAAAGAGAAAGGAAAAAAACTAAATCACCATGGAAAGATGAAAGAAAATTCAAAGGTAGTTTACTGACCGACTATTCAAATAATTCATAAACGAACTTATATTCCTAAATTTATACAGAAAAATTTTCTGTTAGAAATTAGTGAATCAAGCCATTAAAGTAGTAATTAAAAGAATTGCAGATAAGCAATTTGTATCTGCCTTGTGCCGGCCATGGAATTTGAATTGCAAAATTCCCCTTCGATTGAACTTTTTTTAAGAGAAATGAACAAACCTAAAGTTTCTTTAAATTTGTTATATATATTGGCCCCAAGGAACCCAAAGTTTCTCTCAGTCGGCCTCTGCTTCATACTTGATATATAAAAATTTCCTCAATTTTTTTCATTTTTCACTCTTTCTTTACCACATTAAACTAGAAGTCTAAATTAAATAAAACGCCCAAGTTCATATTAAAACTCCTTTTTTTAAAATTCCTTTTAAATCATATTCATTGTGAAAAGAAACAATTAAATGAAAGCCCAAAATTCCATAAAATATCATTCCAAACTACATACCAAGTCAAGAAATTATTACCTATCGACCTATGAAATACAACACGCTTCCTGTTATCACTGGGGTTACTTAATGTTGATTGCACTCTTTTTTTAGAACTTTAAGGTAAAACTAAAATAATGCTTAACTGGATTTTTTTTAAGGAAATAATTTGAAGATGAGAGGAACTTATCAAATTGATTAGGCAGTTTGTTCGTTATCAAACGTGTAAGCATTTAATTACGGGAAAAAAAAAGAGTGCTCAACATATGTTTTTCTTTTTTTCTTTTCCATCTTTACTTTTCTACGAGAACAAAAGGTAGTCAACGTAAGTCTTCACAGGTTCTTAAACGTCTTTATCAAAGGAGGAAGAAGAAAAAACTAACCACCAACGAAACACCAAAGAAAGTTCACAGGTAGTCTATTGACCTACTATTCAAATAATTCATAAGCCAACTTATATTCCAAAATTTATTCAGAGATATTTTTAGTTAGAAATTAGTGAATCAATCCATTAAAGTAGTAATTAAAAGAATTGCAGATAAGCAATTTCTTCTACCTTGAACCGGACATGAAATATGGATTACAAAATTCTCTTTGATTGAACTTTTTTTTTTAAAAAAGAGAAGTTGGGTTATTATTCAAATCCAATTGCAGCCAACTTTTCCCACAATTTCCTTTGATCTTATTTTAAAAAGAAGCAACCTCTAATGACATAGCAATTCCCATCAGTAGTGGTATGATTAAGTATCTAAAAATAGAAAGAGAAAGACCTTTTGAAGTAAAAAATAAATATAAAGAGAAAAGAAAAAGGAAAAAAACAGAATGCTTATGAAGCAAGGTTAATGTCTAAAATAAATTGTCTAAAAGCTAGAGCTAACTTTCCCAACCCATGGGAAGTTAACTCAATGGTAACTTGGTATTTATTCAACAAAATCTTGAATTTAACTTTTTCTTAACATTTAAATATTAAAAAAAAAACAAATTAGTTATAACAATTTTTTAGCACACTACAATTTTCACTATTAAAAATAGTAAATTTTCCAAAATTTTAGAAAATAAATAGTTAACTTTTTTGTTATTGTAATTTTTTTTTTAATTTAGAAAATAAACAATGTACTTTTTTGTTATTGTGGACTTGCCAGTTCCAAGTTTTCATGGATTAGTTTGAATTTCGATCAAATATGATCCATATTTATGAATGTCAATTTTGGATTTAACTTTGAAATTATACTCATAATTAAATATTATATTTATATAATCAATTATTATATCATTAAATAATTAACTAATTAACTAGAACGTAATTAAACAACCAAACTCACAAATAATAGGACTTAAATCTAGAATCTCAAGATTTTAGAGCTTTCTCCTTATCACTAAGCCAAAATCTCATTGACATTTTAAATTTGAGTTAGACTCGCTTACTTTAAGGCCTTTTTTCTTAATTAAAAAATATTATATTACAAAATGAAATTTTAATAAAAAACTATTAATAAAATAAATATCACTAACTGGACTAATTAGATTTGAAAAATCTTATCTAAGCCCAAATCATGTCAGGTTGTTAATGGGGCTTCACTTCTTACAAACTCCCCAAAATTTCATCCTTCTTTCATCTAATCAGATCCAAAGTCTAGACCAATGAGGCTGTCAAATAGCATCACTTCTTCATTCAACTGATTGAATAAACTTAATTTGCTCAAAAATTAAGAAAAAAAATGATTGAACGAATTAACTAAATAGATCCAATTTTTAAAACATTATTGAAAAACATGTTCTTATCAATTCATTTCGTCTAAAAGTACATTCCTACAAAAATGGTGGATTGGGTACTGTAATACTATTTTTATCAAATTACCAGATTTTGGTAGAAATATGGAAGATCATGAGTTCTAACATGATTTATTTCAGTATAATTTTATTTAATAGAGATCATGGGAAATGTGTGAGATTTTTGTGTATCCTTCAATATTATATCGCATACTCATAGAGGAAGGAGAATTAATTAATTAACATCTTCTGTTTCTAGAAACTAGAAAGACATTCATAATAGTTATAGAAATAGTAATATTTTATAAGGTCAAGTGCTTGTAACAAACAACTAACAAGATGCCAAGTGCTGGTGTTATTAACAGCTATTTTGGCCCCATAATTGTTTCAATCACTTGATAAAGCTGTTAATTACGTCTGTATCTATGCTCTATACCTTTGGAAATGATCTTAGCTTTGTTATATATATATATATATATATATACATATTTATTTTTATATATATGCCTCGAGTAACCCGAGTTTCTCTAGAATTCAAAGTATTTGGCCTGTTAAGACTCCATAAAATCTCATTCCAAACTTATTTTGCTCAAAATTAAGAAAAAAAATTGATTGAACGGAATAACTAAATAGAGTCCAATTTTTACAACATTATAAGAAAAACAATCTCTTATCAATTCCATTTCCTCTAAAAGCACATTTCCTAAAAATGGTGGATTGGGCACTGTAATATGTTCTATCAAATACCAGATTGTTTGAAATATGTAAGATCATGATTTTAACATGATTATTTCTATAATTATATTTAATAGATATGTTGTAGTTAGAACCCACATACTGCGAGAATCCACTGGTTAGTTTTGTTAAAAAGGGCTCACCAGAGATAAGTCTTATATATTATCATTTATCAATCCTTATGTGGATTGAGCTTCAAATTCATTTAATGCTTGACGTAAATGTCAAGGATCACCTTAGGACCAAGATCACACTAGACCATCGTGTAGCACTTAGGACTCCACGCTTTTAACACTATACTGTATTGTTGATAATTTTGATATAGTATGCCCTGGATCAAGTCTCATGTGCATATGCGAAGTTTGAGTTAGCTTAATATAATATATATCATTCCTTATCCTTTCCTATTATATTTTCAAGTTTTTTGTCTATCCTTTCAATTACTAGTGCACCAGACGCACTTTGCACGGCATGATTCGATGTGCTATAAAGTAAGTATATTTTAATTTAAAATTTTATTTTTTTAATAACTATCTTTAATTAAATTTTGTTTAAAAAATTAATCATTAAAACCAACACATAAAAAACAAGTTTATTATTCATAATTTCATTGAGCGTATATCACTAATCATTAAATAAATATATATAAATACATTCTTTAAAAATAAATATATAAATACATATATAATGTAAATTTGAGTATTAAACATATAATATAATAATATGTGCATATTTTTAGTTGAGTAGTGACTAAAATCTCTAAATCAAGATAGACTTCTGTAGATGACAATGAAGCAATATATAAAATACCTATAATATATTTTTAATGAGTTTTGTAAGCTATATTCACAATCAATAATAGAAGGTTAAATTTGATGTGTTAAGTAGGCAAAAAATAAGATTCACTTAGACAAGATTTGGTTTAATATTCATTCAAGCGAATGTTAAAACTAATTATAAGCATACCATAGAAAACCAAATCAATAAAAAAATGTATATTAGAGTTGATATATATGCATGGTACATTAGATGTCTTTTACCCTCATTGCATACCTTGCATCATGAATGTAGACATCTCTCTTGTCAACCTCATCATCTCTATAATTTAAATGAACTTTTGATACTAGTGTTATAGATGCAACAACTTCAATTACATCTACAAAATTAAAAAATGTAAGGGCAGATTATGTCTTAAAAACCATAAAATAATTTGTTTAGAATTTATGGCTAAACATATTAAATGGTGTACTTGTTGGGACTAATTCTATAATTAAGAATAATGTAAGGTACAAACTTAAAGTCATGAATATGATATGAAGCCATCTACAACGTCTTTAAAATTAAAGCACCATTTCAGAATCACAATAATAACTCAAAGAATAGCATTGACAGAATTTTTAGGCCTTGTCATGATGTAACTCTAAAAAGAGCAACATAAAGTTGGTCATACGTTAAAAGAGATTTTGGTAAATATAGTCCAATGATATCAAGGAACTATTATTCTCTTTTGTTGATAGTTATAGCTTTGCAAAGCTTGATAGGAAATTATTTCATATTAAAAACAAAAGACCATTTCTTATGTCTAACAGTGAGGACTATCTTAAGTATAAAACTTTACTATTAGCAAAAACACCAAATATGATCTATAATACACAAGCCTAAGTGACTATAGCTTGATTAATGACGCAGCCCATGAGTATCATTGTTAAAAAAAAAAAAAAGGAGAAGAAAAACTTTGCCAGTACTCCTATAGTTTTTTTTTAAAGAAAACATAAAAGGAAAAAACCTTAAGAAACACTTGAGAAAAAGAAGAGAAGAAGAGATAGGTCAAATCAATTATAGAAATCACTGATTAAAGTAAGATTTTGATTAAAATTTTTAAATTTTTCATGTTTTATGCAATTTTTTATAAACCACAGTATATATTTTTATATCTTTTCAACTTCAAAAGAAAAAAATTTCGGTGACTTTCGGTAACAATCTGATGAAATTGTGGATATTAATGGAAAGGTCTCTTCAAGACCTTTCTAATAATGTGTGTGGCACTTGTTTAGTTGAGTAAATTAGGAGTATTTAGTGTTTCAAATTTTTAATTTTTGGGTTTCTAACAATTACAGACATCCAACTTTAAACTGTGGGAACTCTTTATTCCGATGGCCTATTTAGCTGAACTTTAGGCGCTTTTGATAGTACAAAATGTAACTTTTTATTGGTATAATTGGTTAGTTCAGATGATTTATAGGCTAAAAGAATCGAAGCCTCAAAGTAGGCTTCATGAATCGAAAACTTAGAAAATTTGGGCTGTTTGTGATAATTTGCCAAGATTTGGCCTTCGAAACTTAGGCTTCGAAAATTATTTTTGCCGAAACAAAATTCTAGGTTGTAATATTATATTCCTACTTTAAATTCATGCTTCCCTTTATTATTAGGGACTGTAGAATGTTTGAACTTTTGTGGCTCAAAATAAGCCAAATGATCACAGAATGTGAATTTCAGAATTTAAAAATTCTCGTTTTTAATTATTTTAAAAATTATTTCCAGCCAATATTTGATATATTTAGTTATAAATTACTTGAATTTTAGTTATATTATTTTTAATGAATTTTTAATTATTTTAATATATTTTTATTATGTTAATTTTATATTATTAGTATTGTTAAAGAGTTGTTAAATTACATTCAGATTTACAAAAAAAATAGTTGCTATTAAATGTTAAAAATTAAATATTTGTAAAAGTTTATATTGCTACTAATTTTTATGTTTTAATCCTTAATTTCATATTTATATACTCAATTCTAGGCATTTTGCTATATTAAAATAAACTTTGTTTTATATGCTAAAAGAAAATATTTTCAAATAGTTTTGAATTATCGAAAAGGTTGTCACACAACCCAATTTGCTTAGGATGACCCATAAAAGATTTTCCTTATTAAATTTATGTTTTCAAGATAAATTCTAATTTTTTTTAATATTTCTTGAATTATTCGGATATTAAAAGATTGAGTGATTTTCTATTTAAGTTTCGGTTTAGCGCATCAAGTAAGTGACTTGACATTCTTTTGGTTTTTATGTCCTTAAAAATCAGCCTGAATATATTTAGAGTTGAAATATATAATATATATTATTTTGTCCATTTGTTTTGGAAATTGGGTTAAGCATGTAAAATATATATATATGATTTCTTTGTTATGAGTTTAGAATATGATTTGTTATTATTTTAATTTTTGAATATGATTTCTTAATAATATATTTATATATTCATTGTTTGTCGAAATATGAATTTTGCTTTGGAATGATTATGGAATTTTACTTTGTATGGATTATATTTTGAAAAAATTTATAAATATTGAATTTGTATATTTTGGGTAATCTAAAAATATATTTTGGCTTTTGTCCCTTAGTATGACTATGTTTTGACCCTACCAATAGGGGTTAATCATTGACCATGTTGACATGTATTTTGTAATATCAATACCAGTTTCGAACTATATCACTGGTTGAGAATAGTGATTTTTGTTCATCGTGCCATCGGTGATATACTTCTATCCCATTGCACTTAAGGGGTTACTATGATTTTTATTATGTCCCATTGCACTAACTGGTTAATTATGATTGTCAATGCAACAATCTAGCTGCTTCTGATATATTTATGTCCTATTGCACTAGAGGAGAAATTTGATTCTGACTTATGCCACAAGGGTTAAGTGTGGTCGTAGTATGTTACGAGAGATTAAATAAATTTATAATTTTGTGATATTTGATTCTGTTTTATGATAAAAGAATCCAGTTTTAAGAATTTGTTTGTGAATACAAGATTATCCAAAATATTTTTAAATCATTTAGTTAATGTTTTGGCTTAACCATTTTGTAGCATGCTTAATCCAACTAAGGGAATGTTGGTTACTTATTAAGTCGTCATACTCATTTTTTAATTTTTCTTTACTTTTTTGGATTTCAATTTTTGTGTCTTGGGAGACTTAATCTTAATAACTACTTACATTAGCAAGATTAACATCCGTCTTTAGTTTGGTATTGCTTTCAAAGTGCATATTTTATTATTGATTCTAAAAGATATGTTAGTAAAAAATTTAGTTTATTCAACCAACTTGCAAAGAGCATAATTTTATATACTTGAGATTATGTAAAGTATTATTTTGGAGATTATTGGATATTTTGATTTAGTTTCATATCTGTTGCCTTGTATGCTTGTGAGATTTGTCTCATGAGTATATGATGTTGTTACATTCTAAATCTTCGGATTTGGGGTGTGAAGTGATCTTTCCTTCTTTAATGTTCAAAGTTAATTGTACCATCAATTATATACTTCTGTCATATAAGCTAGAACATTGGTTCACATTTCTGGGAAGTATGATCAAAACACCTATCATAAGGTTTGAGTTGATAGTTAGGAATATTAGGAAAGTTGAGAAAGTAAAAAAATTTTATTGGACAAAACAATTCTTGGTTTGAATTAAAGTTTAAAAACTGCTTAATTGATTAAATGTTTCAGTTCTTTCTCTTTGTTCAGACAACTCAAAATTTGCAATAGCAATCATACTTTTATATTGTGAATAGAAATGAGGAAGATTAAATATTAATTATTTTTATTTGATAAACTAATCGACAAAGCATATAAAGGCTTTAAAATGTTTAGAAGCCAGCAACTTGATCATCAAATCATATATGGTATGGTATGACCAGATTCCATAATAGTTACAGGTCAAATGCTTGTAACAAGCAACTAACAAGATGCCAAGTGTTCGTGTTATTAACAACTATTTTGGCCGTTGGTGCCAGTTGTTAATTTGGACGTAGGAGTGGTGCGAGATCTTCCAATTCCGATCAATCCAGATGAATTAAAAATCCTAGGAATAAGGGTAGACGGTAGCTACTACCAGAAATAAAATCTTAAACTCTTATATTAACATCACCCATCTCTTAATTTTACCAGTAATCAACTTGGTCTAAATTCCCATACTGTGTGGGCGGCTTGGGGTAGACAAGTGGCTAAAAATTAAGCTGAAAATTAAAAGGGCGAGGACTGAGACTCAGAATTTAATAACAACTATAACTGAAAATGACCAAAGAAAGAGCAATCCTGTGCTGATGAGATGGTGGATCTGTTTTCCTTGAAATTGCATTTATATTTTCATAACTGAATATGAATAAAGAAAGAGCAATTTTGAACACCTCAAACAAATGAATCTTGTTAGAAAGAGGTATTGCTATGGGCTGCTTATTTGTAAGTTAATCATGTTGCTTGTTTATGTGTATGCCTAATGTTTTTACCTGCAGTCTGCAGACACAACCAAAAGGATGCTAATAAACACTTTGTCTGATTCCAGCCCCATTTTCACAATTTGAAAAAGTCCGACTTCAAGCTCTAAACAAATTCACAGATACAACCAAACTTATGCCAAAAAACAAGAAAGAAAGAAACGAAGGGCATTATAGAATGACACAATTATTTTACCAAGCATTAGTTTTCAAAATTCAAAGACAATGCCAACATGAGAGGACACACTCCCATCATACAGAATGCCTGAACCTAAACCATTCAGGGCACAAGAAGAAGAAGAAGAAGAAGAAGCAGGAGGAGGTAAATTCTGACCTTGAACTTGAAGTGCTCTAGAATCATGGAAGATACACAGGGTTATATGTTTCTTCTGAAGCAGGGCAACCTACGAAGATTGTCCACAATGAAGAAATAACCAGCGGTGCTCCGCTCTTCAATGAAATAAAGCCATGCTCGTCTCCAGTATGGATTTATGTAGAGTATAATGCCAGTTGCCAGCAATATAATTGCATAGGAAACCCCAAAGCTACTGTAGAAATCAACCATGTCTATAAAACCATCTTCTTCATCTTCACTAGGTGAAGCACTTCGAGTTTCTGCTGAATCACCTTCCCCACAACAGTTTTTCAATGGAGGTCCACAAAGAAGAGGGTTTCCATCGTAGCTGCTCTCGCCGAATGTCCCAAACTCAAATTTCCTCTCCGGGAGAGGCCCAGACAAGTTGTTGTGTGCAACAGTGAATACCTCCAGAGAGTTCAACTCAGTCAGTTCAGGGGGGATTCTGCTGTTTAAGTTGTTGTAGGAAAGATCCAAACTCTCAATCTGCTTGAGTTTTGAGAACGTGGAGGGGATGGGTCCAGTTAAATTGTTGTGCGACAAGTTTACTCCTCGGATTTCAATCAAATTCCCCAATTCAGGTGGGATTATGCCTGTCAATTGGTTGCAGGAGAGATCAATTCCAGACAAGTAATCAAGAATATTACCCGTGAAATTATGTGATGCATTCTTTGTTGAAAACACTATCTCTTCTTCTGCATAGCTAAAAGGATACCAACGTGATGTAGGAAATTCGTTTGCAGAATACTCCCGTTTATCCGTTGTGAGATCATATATCTTCTGTCCCATCTCTGCCAATACTCCTTCAACGATAGTAAACATAAAAGGGAAAGTGCTTGTATCGGATTTTTCACCCCTTGGCTGAAGAGTTAAATTACCCAAACAAGAAGGTATAGGACCAGAAAGTTTATTCTGAGAAAGGTCCACGATTCTTAATGAGTGCAATTTGCACAATTGCACAGGAATTTCACCATGGAACTGATTTGCTTTCATCAGAAGGACACTCAGAGCCGGTAGTGTGTCGATCCAATCAGGAATTTTTCCGGTGATGTTGTTTCCTCTCAGATCTAATGTCACTAATGAAGAGCTTCCATAAAAGGCATGTGACAGTGGTCCACTTAGTTGATTCCTGCTCAAATGTACATGCTTTATATCCTGTAGATTGGAGCAAGATGGTATTGTACCAGACAGAAGATTTTGAGAAAGATCCAAGAAATTAAGATTCACCAGTTTGCATAATTCAATGGGAATGGGACCCTCTAATTGGTTGTTGGCCAAAGACAGTGTCAACAAACTTGTATAATTCCACAACCATATTGGCAGCTTCCCAGAAAAATGGTTGTCACTTAAATATAAAGCTTGAAGCACTGAAGGGCTAAAGGGTGAAAAATGAGGCATCTCTCCATCAAAGCTGTTGCCATCCAAATAGAATCCTCTCAGCACAGGTGAGCAATATATTGCAGGAAACATTTTGCCACTCAAGTTGTTGTTTGAAAGTCTAAGAAACATTACAGAGTAACTCATGGTCAACTCTTCAGGTATTCCTCCAAAAAATTGATTGTGGGATATGTCTAAAATCATTAACTGCCTCATATCACCCAAACAGGGAGGAATATTACTTTTGAATGCACCTCGCGACATGATTAAACCTTGTAAGTTTGGAAAAACTGCGCAAATATTGGTTGGAATTTGATGTTGTAGTTTATTGTTTGATATGTTAAGTACCATCATGTTATAATTAGGGTGTGATGGTAAGAAAAGATGACCCTCAATAGAACTATCCATCATGTAAAGTGCTTCTAGTCTTGTATTATTCTTTACCAACCAATCTGGGAACTTTATTCGGCCAAAATTGTTATATGAAATATCAACATATCTCAAGTCATATTGGTAATAGAGGAAGTTAGGAAGTTGTGGATTCCCATGTTCTTCTATTGTGCAATTTGACAAACTCAAGACCTTAAGTTGAAATTTTGGGGACCAAGTTTGGAAAAATGTTGGTTCGACGACTAACTTGTTCCCATTGCTGAGAAGGATTTGAAGATTTGAGTGGTTTGCGAATGATTCGAATGACACTGGGACTTGAAATTGATTATTTGAAAGGGAGAGGAATTTAAGCGTTGTGAGATTTGTGAGAGCAGTGGAGGCAACATTTCCTGTGAACTGATTGTTAGAGATATCGAAATAGCGAAGAAATGTCAAGTTACCCAAGCATGAAGGAATTGCACCCTGTAGACCATTTCCATTGAGACTCAATTCTTCGAGACCTTTTGGGTGGCACCAACCTGAAAGAAAAAATGAAGAGGAGATGCAAATTTAATTTTGTTTTTTTTTTTTTATTAAGATACAATTTCACATCCTTTTATATATATATATATATATGTGTGTGTATATATAGTTTATAGATAAAATAGTAAAAAATCGCTATAAGCTTTAAAAAGAGAAAAAAGAAAAATTTATGTGTGACATTGGCAGGGACGGCGACATGTCAAGTTGGGTGGGTTTTACTAACCCCAACTTCGACCCGACCTCATGAAATTTACATTCGACTCAGACCCGATCCTACATCAAAATATTATTTTTCATACCTAACTTGACTTTGTATATGTATAAATCATAATTGACTGGATTCGAAATTAATTTGATAATTTTAATTTTAGTATAATATTTATAAAATATTATGAATATTTTAGAAGTGGTTGAGTATAGGAATGGTGAGTTGGTAATCAAGGATAAAATCATTGGAAGTTAGATTAAGTTCAAATTCTTTGAATTTAGGTTAGGAAGTTAAGACGGAGAAAGAAAAGGAATTTGTGCAATATGAAAAGTGACTTAAAAAAGAAAAATGAGTGTAGTGTTAATTGTGAAGATATTGAAGATCATTCTGATCACTTAGGTAGGAACAATCTAAAATGTCACAAAGTTAAGAAAAAGAAACGAAAAAAAACTAAAAATGAAGTAGGAAGATTTCAATGATTCCAGTTTGTATAAAAAAGAGTAAATTCTTTGTATAAAAATGACGCTGTCAAAACTTTGGATATTGGGAAACTTCTCGGGTTATCATTTGAAAGTGATGAAGAAATTATTCTTGAGAAGTTGATGGACATGAAACGGAGGGACTAAGATGATAATGTTAATAGTTAGTGTTCAATAGTTATCACAAGATGCTTCTGTTGATGGTATCGTTGAATTTATCATTGATTGGCTGTAGCTTGCATACCATTTTTCTTGCTTTCTATAGTAAGTTGTTTCTATTACCTTACAAAACTCAAGTGTGGTGGGTCTTTTCATAGGTGCATATTCCAGATTCCTGTTTGTAATTTTGATCGCTCTCGGCTGTTCTTGCTATCTTGTAGAGTGTTTTTCTTTAATTTTATTCAGGTGATTTAGATTATCAAATTGGTGTGTATTGGTAATTTGGATTTTCTTTTTGCTAGTCTTGGCTAGCTTTGTAACCTCATGGTTGCTTTAATAGTCTTTGGCTTAAAAGAGAAAAAAAATTAATATTAAATACAGAAAACGTACAGTAATATTAGTTATTAAAAATAAAGAAATGTAAGAAAATGAAAAAGCTAATGCTTAAATGTAATTCTATTACCTTGAGAAGGTAAAGTGCCAGCCACACTGCAATCATACAAAGACAAGGTTTTGAGAGAAGTCAAGTTGCCAATGCTTTGCAAAAAGTTGATGTCCAAAGGTGTATTATCCATGAAGAGGTCCTCCATATTTCTCAACAGATGCAACTCTGGTGTACAATTGACATTCAAAAGGGAAAAAAATACTCACTCTATGTAGAACAAGAAGTATATATATAGTAAGTATGATTGATGGAGGTATAGATGGTATGGATGTATTGGGTACATGTAGGATAAGAAATAAGATTTAAAGTGAACATAAATTGATTTAACATTTTTGTTTAAAATCACAACCATAACTAACCTTGAGTAACTACCGTTTTGTTTAAATTAGAGTTATCTCTTAAAAAGAGGGTCTTTACAGATATATTAACATCACCCATCTCTTAATTTTACCAGTAATCAACTTGGTCTAAATTCCCATACTGTGTGGGCAGTTTGGGATAGACGAGTGGCTAAAAATTAAGCTGAAAATTAAAAGGGCGAGGACTGAGACTCAGAATTTAATAACAAACATAACTGAAAATGACCAAAGAAAGAGCAATCCTGTGCTGATGAGATGGTGGATCTGTTTTCCTTGTTGGAAAGAGGTATTGCTATGGGCTGCTTATTTACGTTTTCCTTGAAATTGCATTTATATTTGCATAACTGAATATGAATAAAGAAAGAGCAATTTTGAACACCTCAAACAAATGTTGCTTGTTAGAAAGGGGTATTGCTATGGGCTGCTTATTTGTAAGTTAATCATGTTGCTTGTTTACGTGTATGCCTAATGTTATTACCTGCAGTCTGCAGACACAACCAAAAGGATGCTACTAAACACTTTATCTGATTCCAGCCCCATTTTCACAATTTGAAAAAGTCCGACTTCAAGCTCTAAACAAATTCACAGATACAACCAAACTTATGCAAAAAAAGAAAAAAAAAAAAAGAAAGAAAGAAACGAAGGGCATTATAAAATCATACAATTATTTTACCAAGCATCACTTTTCAAAATTCAAAGACAATGCCAAACATGAGATGACACACTCCCATCGTACAAAATATCGGAACCAAAAACTTGCAGGGCACAAGAACAAGTAAAAGAAGAAGAAGAAGAAGCATGAGGAGGTACATTCTGACCTTGAACTTGAAGTGATCTAGAATCATGGAAGATACACAGGGCTATATGTTTCTTCTGAAGCAGGGCAACCTACGAAGATTGTCCACAATGAAGAAAAAACTAGCGGTGCTCCGCTCTTCAATGAAATAAAACCATGCCTGTCTCCAGTATGGGTTTATGTAAAGTACAATGCCAGTTGCCAGCAATATAATTGCATAGGAAACCCCAAAGCTAATATAGAAATCACCCATGTCTATGAAAGCATCTTCTTCATCTTCACCAGATGAAGCACTTGGTGTTTCCGGTGAATCACCTTCACCACAACTGTTTTTCAATGGAGGTCCACAAAGAAGAGGGTTTCCCTCGTAACTGCTCTCTTCGAATGTCCCAAACTGAAATTTCATTTCTGGGAGAGGCCCAGACAAGTTGTTGTGTGCAACAGTGAATACCTCCAGAGAGTTCAACTCAGTCAGTTCAGGGGGGATTCTGCTGTTTAAGCTGTTGTAGGAAAGATCCAAACTCTCAATCTGCTTGAGTTTTGAGAACGTGGAGGGGATGGGTCCAGTTAAATTGTTGTGCGACAAGTTTACTCCTCGGATTTCAATCAAATTCCCAATTCAGGTGGGATTATGCCTGTCAATTGGTTGCAGAGAGATCAATTCCAGACAAGCTAATCAAGAATGTTACCTGAATTATTGATGCTTCTTTGTTGAAAACACTATCTTCTTCTGCATAGCAAAGGATACAACGTGATGTAGGAAATTCGTTTGCAAATACTCCATTTATCCGTTATGAGATCATATATTTTCTGCCCCATCTCTGCGAATACTCCTTCAACGATAGGAAACATAAAAATGAAAGTGCTTGTATCAGATTTTTCACCCCTTGGCTGAAGAGTTAAATTACTCAAACAAGAAGGTATAGGACCAGAAAGTTTATTCTGAGAAAGGTCCACGATGCTTAATGTGTGCAATTTGCACAATTGCACAGGAATTTCACCATGGAACTGATTTGCTTTCATCAGAAGGACACTCAGAGTCGGTAGTGTGTCAATCCAATCAGGAAATTTTCCGGTGATGTTGTTTTCTCTCAGATCTAATGTTACTAATGAAGAGCTTCCATAAAAGGCATGTGACAGTGGTCCACTTAGGTTATTCCTGCTCAAGTGTACATGCTTTATATCCTGTAGATTGGTGCAAGATGGTATTGTACCAGACAGAAGATTTTGAGAAAGATCCAAGAAATTAAGATTCACCAGTTTGCATAATTCAATGGGAATGGGACCCTCGAATTGGTTGTTGGCCAAAGACAGTATCGACAAACTTGTATTATTCCACAACCATATTGGCAGCTTCCCAGAAAAATGGTTGTCACTTAAATATAAAGCATGAAGCGCTGAAGAGCTGAAGGGTGAAAAATGAGGCATCTCTCCATCAAAGTTGTTGCCATCCAAATAGAATCCTGTCAGCACAGGTGAGCAATATATTGCAGGAAACATTTTGCCACTCAAGTTGTTGTTTGAAAGTCTAAGAAACGTTAAAGAGTAACTCATGGCCAACTCTTCGGGTATTCCTCCAAAAAATTGATTGTGGGATATGTCCAAAATTTCTAATTGCCTCATATCGCCCAAACAAGGAGGAATATTACTTTTGAAGGATTTCGCGATATGATTAACCATCGTAAATTTGGAAAAACTGAGCAAAAATCGGTTGGAATTTGTTGTTGCAGTTTATTATTTGATACGTCGAGTACCATCATGTTATAATTAGGGTGTGATGGTAAGAAAAGATGACCCTCAATAGAACTATCCATCATGCAAAGTTCTTCTAGTCTTGTATTATTCTTTACCAACCAATCTGGGAACCTTATTCGGCCAAAATTGTTATATGAAAGATCAACATATCTCAAGTCATATTGGTAATAGAGGAAGTTAGGAAGTTGTGGATTCCCATGTTCTTCTATTGTGCAATTTGACAAACTCAAGACCTTAAGTTGAAATTTTGGGGACCAAGTTTGGAAAAATGTTGGTTCTACGACTAACTTGTTCCCATCGCTGAGAAGGATTTGAAGATTTGAGTGGTTTGCGAATGATTCGAATGACACTAGGACTTGAAATTGATTATTTGAAAGGGAGAGGAATTTAAGCGTTGTGAGATTTGTGAGAGCAGTGGAGGCAACATTTCCTGTGAACTGATTGTTAGAGATATCCAAATAGCGAAGAGATGTCAAGTAACCCAAGCATGAAGGAATTGCACCCTGTAGACCATTTCCATTGAGACTCAATTCTTCGAGACCTTTTAGGTGGCACCAACCTGAAAAAAATATATAAAGAGGGGATTCAAATTTAATTTTGTTTTTTTTTTTTATTAAGATACAATTTCACACACACAAATATATATATATATATATAGTTTATAGATAAAATAGTAAAAAAGTTGTTGTAAGCTTAAGAAAGATAGAAAAGAAAATTTATGTGTGACATTGTTATGGATGGCAACGGAATAGGTCTAGGCAGGTTTTTGCTTACCTTGACTCCAATCCGGCCTTATGAAATTTACACCCAACTTAGACCAATATGAAATTAAAACATTATTTTTTCTACCCAACCTAATCCATATATGTATAAATTATAATCGATTTGATTTGAAATTAATTTAATAATTTTAATTTTTGTATAATATTAATAAAATATTATTTTTACTAATAAATTATATCTTAATTATGATAATATAATATTTTTATTAAGTTAATATTTTAAATTAAAATATTAAGTAAAATTTTATTAATATAATATATATAATCAAATAAATAATAAAAAATATATTCTTTATATATACCAAGATGGTGTTACCTTAAACTTGGCTTCGACCCAACCTAAAACTCAATTTAAAAAACAGATGCATTGAAACCTGAAAATTTTGGATAAATTTGTTATCCCTAGACATTGTCAATGTGTACATTCATGCCAAAAAATATATTCAAGGTCAAAGATATGGATTTATCAATTTTATGAATGTCAATGATATTAAGGGTTTACTTGTGGCTTTGAATTTATCTGGATTGATAGTTATAAACTTAGATTTTTCAAAACCAAAGCACTATCCGGTGCTATAGACCACGTTCAACATGTTTAGAGAATTTAGCAGTAGGTCTGAGGTCCCTTTAAATAATTGCAAATCATATGCAGAAATGGTTAAAGGTGTGTTGCAAAAAGATGAAGATGCCTCTATAATCCATAAAAAGAGCTTGTCAGAGTTTAAAATAGAGAAAAAGGGTGATTTTAGCTTAATAAAGAGTTCAGTTTCTGTTTCTTTTGGTTTTTCTTATAATCATATTAAAGTCTCTTTGACTAATTTGTAAATTTTCTATTTAGTCCGAGATCTAAATTAATTGGACTCAGCATGTTTAAAACTCAAATGTCTAATTTTATATTATATTATATTTTTATTTTTATTTGTTTTTTTACCTTTATAATTGTATCTATCATTATTTTTATTTTATTTTTTTATTTTTATCTTACTTATTTATCTATTTATCTTGATTTTTATCTCATTTTTATTGTTTCTTTATAAAAAAAACAAAAATCAAAATGTTTGTTGGAAAATATTTTTTGGTTGATAATTCATGTGAACTTTTAAAAGGTTTTGATTGGTTCTTTTAGAGATTAATTCAAAGTTTTTGTTCTTAGATAATAAAGAAGTTTAATCTCTAATCAAAAAAGAATTCTTGTCAAGTTAGGACTAGGCTCCTATAAATACCCTACAAGTTTACACAATCAACACACAACAATTACAAAGGAGAATTTAAGAGAAAAAAGTTATAGTTCAAGTTCAAATTTTAGGCTTTTTTTCAATTCCTAATGATTTTTTTATAAGATTCCAACCTCTGACAAGATTTTTAGACATGACATTTCAGTAAGCATTGAAGTTCCTTATTCCGACGAAACCTCCAAATTTTGACGACTATTCCTAATTTCCCAAGCATCAATCTGATCCAACCTGGCCCATAGCGTGTGACCCCATATCCATCACCTTTTGAGACACTGCTAAGTCAAGCCACTGAGCAGAACTAAGTTGCTACACTAGTCATGAGCCAAGTCATTTTTTAAGTCAGACCAAGCCAAAAATTTTAAGTTATATTTTTATTTTATTTATTTAAAAATATAAAAAATTTAAAGAAAAATAATTTTAAAAAATGAAAAATAATCTTACCAACATTGGAAGGTTTAATAATTTTAAAACAATTTTTGAAAAATAAAAAACCTCACCAAAATAGTAGAGGTACCTAACCATGTTCAGTCCAAGGAGTTAGGAGATGAACCAGTACAAGCTCATCCATCGAATAATGTTAAGTAATCCTTTAGTAGTGGGGAGTCTTCAAATATTCCTAATACAAATCAAGTCTAAGAAACTATTGGAGCCTTGATCCTATGGTGAACAAGGAAGAAAGAACTACAATAGATAGTCTAATAGCATTGGTAGTTGTGTAGAAGTGGTTGAGAATAGGAATGATGAGGGAGTAGTCAGGGACAAAAAGTCACTGGAAAAAGACAGAATCTATCCAATATGAAGAGTGTGACTTAAAAAAAGGAAAATGAGGAGTGTGTTGTTAATTGTGAAGATATTGAAGATCATTTTGATTACTTAGCTAGGAAAAATCTGAAATGTCACAAAATTAAAAACAAAAAACAAAAAAACAAAAAATGGAGTAAGAAGAAGGTTTCAAATATTCCAGTTTGTACTTGGGTTCTCCTATGATTCTTGAAAAAGATAATAGCATTTCAAATAAAGAAATCTAAAGGTAAATTCTTTGCATAGAGAAGTTATCAAAACTTGGGATCTTGGGAAACGTCTCGCGTTATCATTTGAACGTGATGAAGAAATTATTATTGGTAAGTTGATGGAAATGGAACGAAGGGACTTAAATGATAATGTTAACAGTTAGTGTTTGGTAGTTGTCATAAGATGTTTCTTTTCCTGGTGTGGTTAAATTTATCATCAACTGACTGTTGCTTTTACACCGTTTTTCTTGCTTTCTACAGTTAGTTGTTTATATTACCATGCAAAACTAAAGTGTGGTGAGTTTTTTAATAGGTGGCCGAGATTCTTGTTTGTAATTTTGGTTGCTCTTGTCTGTTCCTGCTAGCTAGTAGAGTGTTTTTCTTTGATTTCATTAAGGTGATTTTAGATTCTCAAATTGGTATGTATTGGTACTTTGGATTTTCTTTTTCTTAGTCTTGGCTAGTTTTGTAGCCTCATGGTTACTTTAATAAACTTTGGCTTAACAAAAAAAAAAAGAAAAGAAAAAAAAATTAATATTAAATACAGAAAAACATAGAGATAGTAGTTATTAAAAAAAAGATGTAAAAAAATGAAGGAGCCGATGCTTAAAATGTAATTCTATTACCTTTAGTAGGTAAAGTGCCAGCCACACTGCAGTTATACAAAGACAAGGTTTTGAGAGAAGTCAAGTTGCCAATGCTTTGCAAAAAGTTGATGTCCAAAGGTGTATTATCCATGAATAGGTGCTCCACATTTCTCAACATATGCAACTCTGGTGTACAATTGACATCCAAAAGGGAAAAAATACTCACTCTATTTAGAACAAGAAGTCTATATATAGTAAGTATGATTGATGGAGGTATAGATGGTATGGATGTATTTGGTATATGTAGGATAAGAAATAACATTTAAAGTGAACATAAATTGATTTAACATTTTTGTTTAAAATCACAACCATAACTAACCTTGAGTAACGAACGCTTTGTTTAAATTAGAGTTATCTCTTAAAAAGAGGGTCTTTACAGATGAAAATGCCTCTAGGATTGACGCAAGAGAAATGCTTTGTTTGTTGGAGACACCGTCTAGATAGAGATTTTTTAGCTTCCTCAAGCATCTATTTTCTGCAAGGAAAAGGAGTGAACAATATATATTTAGTTGTAGTTCGACTGCATAGTTTGGTGTAAATATATACCATAGTGGCTTAGTGGATATAATTAGTGAATTTGATGAAACTAATAGTACAATCAATTAATCATTTACAATAAATCATCAATAAACAAGTTGAACTTAATCACCCTCACTTGAATGATTCATCTAAATTCAACTTGATATGAATTTAAAAGTCATTAACTTAATCTTGAAATGAGTTGACCCTTGATATGAGCATCGAATGAGTTGAAGATGAAATAATTTGAACTCAAAATTATCCAAATTAAAATAACGAAAAATTAAAACATTTGAATCCAAAAAACCCAAATAGTCATTATTCCAAATAACCATCCTTAGTTGTAAAAGTGTAATAATATTAGTAGAAATCAATATTGGAAAAGCTTTGTTTTGATGTCGTTAAAATCGTTGACCAATATCTGTGACTAATTAATGACATAAAAAATTAAAATTTATTTTAATCCATACCTTTAGAAGTCACAAATTGAGTCACCTCATTGTAACTCATGTCCAGAGTCTCTAAATTGCTCAAAGGGCAAAGTTCTGGATAGATTTCACATATCAAACTACGTTAGAGACTACTTATTTAATTAATAATTGCTTTAAAGTTATAGATTTTAGTTTTACCTTTGATATCTATTGATCCCTTCAGTTGATTTTGTCTTAAATTCAAATTCTTTAGATTTGAAAGGCCTGCCAAAATACTGTTATTGAAGAGATTTTTTCTCAA